GATCCGCCATCGGGATCCGGCGGCCATGCAAAAACTCGACCCCACTCCCCCAGGACCCCAGTACCGGCATCAAACCCCTCAACTCGGCGGCGTCTGGTCCCAGCTACACGAGGAGCTTCCCCCTCCGCACAGCTCGCAGCCCCCGTCGATTTCTCCCCTGCCCCGGTCATCCGGCTACCGGACCTCGACCAGCGACTACTCGATACCGCAAATGAGCGCACCGATCGCGCCACCCAACGATTTCTCGCAGGCCTTCCAGGCCAGCATGTCGAGCTCGAGCTCGCGCACGCCCGAATGCGGGATTCCTTCAGGGGGCGGGGCCGCTCGGGGCTGGGAGGGCAAGGGCCAGGGCTCCGGGGACCGGCGGCGACGAGTACTCGGACCCCGCTGGGCATGAAGCGGCAAGCGCAGCTTCACGGGCCCGGCCTTCCGCCCACCACCACCCAGCGCCGGCGGCCTACGGCAGCACCCGCATAGCATGATATTATGGCTTGCAGACGGCGGACGACCAACCTTGTTTACGAAAACAGGGCACTATAAACTGCGATTCTTTTTTTTTTTTTTTATTCTCAGGGGGGATCGAAATACCCAACAACCAACTTCACCCCCTGTTTCTGGCTCGTCAAATAGCATCTTCATTTTTACTTCTTTGCGTGCGGCAGCATCGCCCCCTTTTTGACGGGCTTCTTCTATACGATCGATCGACGACACATCCCCGCATCGACGGCTTCTTGCTACCGGGACTACAACTCTCTCCTCACGCCACACTCGAAGAAGGGGGTTCTCGGATCGGATGGATGTTTCGGGAAACCCGAGAGTCCCCCTTACCCTGGCGCGGCTACTTCGATTCTTGGCTCGACACCTTTTTGTTGCTCTGTCTTGTTACGATTTGATATTTTGATCGGGTACGATCTGTTGTGGGCGGCTCGATTCTATGATATCATTGGTGTTGGTTGCGACAGGAAAGATCAGTTTTGTGTTTGTCTTTTTTTGGAATTATGGGATGGGATAACACTATTACTACGTTTCTACGACCGGCGAACGGGAGGGTTGATGATTATTGGCGAATTTGACAAGGCTGTTTGTTTCACAGAAAAGAAAACCCAATTTCAACGGCGGAATGGTTCGGTTGATTTGCTGGTGGTGGTGGGGTTTGCATTGGGTGGCTGGGTGGTTGCTTTGCGGATGGGTTATGTGAGTGTGGGTATGTGTGTGTGTGTGTGTGTGTGTGTGTGTGTTACCATTTGTCTGGTAGGGATAGGGGCTAGCCGGCTGGCAGGTTCTCTCCCCTTTGTCTTCTCTACTAGCCGTGTACATAGATAGACGAACAAACTGAGGACGTTCACAATTGTGTCCATTCCGGGTCTCCGCGGCCCCTACCTTGTTGTCTTTCTCGACCATGTTGCGGTCTTCGGGTCGTGGCCCAAGTTTCCGGTTCCTTTAAACGACCTTTTCCGTTTAACTAACGCAGACCCAGCGAAAACTGCCGTGGGCGCAAGACATACGTTGGGTTGCAACCGCTTGGAAGGAGCCTTGATCCGACAGCAAGAGGAGTGCACCGGTCGAGGTGTACAAAGCAAGATGGGAGAGGGGTCTGTTGACGGGATCTGCCGGGCTGGGTTCAGGGTTGCGTGCCTCAACCAGTCAGGTCGGATGGAGTGAGGAGAGATGTGAGGTGAGACAATGAGATGCGATGACATCCACATCGAGCCTTGCATTGCAGCATACTCCACAACTTGATGCATAACATGGCACCTTGAGTCTGCATCTCGCCCGCGCAGCAAATGGGAGCGGCGTCCTATTCGCTGCGGCCCCCTTCATTGCCGGACAAGAAAGAGGAGAAGAGACAGGTACATGGCACCTTGGTTATGGGCCAACCCCTGGTTGGGATCGCCTGCGAAACGGAGCCACATCTGCCTTCTTTTCCTCATTCACTCCCCGCACACAAGTGAGGAGGCGTGTGAGGGCTGTGGCTGGGTCTTGGCTGCTGCTGGTTGCAGCGCGGTCAATCCCGTCTTCGTTAGCTTCGGTGGTTTACTCGGGCACAGCGAAATAACTGGCTTGTTAAACAGCACCGTGGTTTTTGGTGTGGCCTCGGTGGTTCGTTGTTGTCGGGAGCTCTTGCCGGGGAGTGGTCTGTCTGGTACCGGACGTGGTTGGCTGCCACTGGCGACGGCCTCATTTCGGCCAACGTTTTGTCGACCGTCCCGCATCCTTGAGTGAAATCATTACGCAGGTACCAGACGGAGTGGCAAAACGCGGTCCGGTATGCAACCGGCTTCGACATACGAATATGCAATAATCCAGCCGAATGCCTTCGCGCAGGTGGGAAGGACAATAACTATTCTACCGTTGTGTCCTCTGGGTTGTGGAAGAGGCGCAGATCTGTTACCCCGCCCCAAAGCTTAACAGTCTGGTCGAGATGGGGCACCTCAGCCAAGCAGTGACAAATGACATGGACGTGTCGTCACTCCCCGGTCTTCGACGGAGCATCTCGAAGGTTTCCGTGTTAGGAAGTGCTTGCTCGACCAACCATCAATCATCATCAGCGGCCGCCGTTGCAGCCGGCCGACCGTCCCGTCCGCAGACTGTGACCGGGCATCATGGCGCCTCCTGCTCATCTTCCAAGCAGCTACCGTGGTAGTATCGCCTACTTTCCTCTGAAACCGCGGGGAAACGGTCGGCTTGGCCCCAGAGTCCGGGGAAAGGCTTGATCGGAAAATAAGACAGATTAAAAAAACGTGCGCCGTCATTAACTGCGGAATGGAACGCCGCCGCCACCTCTGATTGGGAGATCTCTCGAGAGCCATCTTGGAGATGCAGCTTGACACGGACGATGTTGTGATGTTGCGACGTCGAATACAGCCTGTTACTCATCAGCCTGCTTTGGCCCTGGCCGGGATGACAGGATCGAGGTCACTTACACCAAGAGCCGGGAATATGGAGAGGCATTCTGGAGTTCTCCAGGCCATTTATGCAATTGCCGGCTGATCTTGCCCACTCCAGAGTAGGCTGGCGTTGGGGTCCTGTGCGGCCATGCCATGTTTGTCGAAACTCTCCGGGGACGGGGCGGCGCCAGGAATCTTCTTTGCATGGTAGCCAGAGGTGATCTTCAATGAACTAGACATGTCGGGACAAGGCGCTCGGAATCAGACATCCCAGTATCCCAATCCGTCCAACGTTCCTCCATGCCGTGGAATGCTTCTCTGCGCGAACATTGTCCACATGTGCTTGCATCCCGCTCAACCATGCCGGCCGTTTCTGTAAGTCTGTGGGAGACGGGGTAAGGGTGGACCAGGAGCCGGTTACGAGGGTTTGCGCCACTCGTGTCAGTTGATGTTGGCCAGTGTTTTGGAGGTGAGAAGCCGCGGGCCAGAGCAGGGCAGTTACGGGAACCAGCATTAGCGGGCATTTGCGCATTCCTTCTGGAGGCATCTCCAACGGTTCCTGCGTAACCCCTCCCTCCCTCGCTTCTTACGCACACCCATACACAGAAGAACGAGGGGCCAGACTGCCGTCTCCCAAGTCGAGGAAGCGCCGTGGTGAGGTTCTAGGGCCAAGGAAGCGGCTATCTCCGCGGCTATCGTTCCTCGAAATAGTTTAGACGAGGGAAAGGGTGAGCGGTGCCGCCGGTGTATCTGAGAGCGAGCCGCGCTGAACCCTGAACCGCTCTGCGCCTCCGTGCACCCAACCACAGACCAGGTTAGGTGTGGTGCGGGCTGCAGTGGCACAGTCTGGGAACTGAGTTGACAAGAATAACTATCGCTGCATGTCTTCTGCGAGTGCACAGAAGGTTGTGCAGATCAGCTTCGAATGGTGGCTGGTGTTAAGCCCGTGTCACGTCGATGATCATCGGCTGCCCGCTTTTCTCCAGGGGATGAGGCCGGCCTGCAGGGTGAGTGTCGAAGTAACTTTCTTTGGCAAACAGACGAGAAGTTAGATGCGCCTCACCTCACCCCAATCCCAAGCCAAAACGGAATGCGAGGAGGGGAAGTCCCCTGGGAGCAAGAAGCCCGATCCTTCAGCCTTGTGTCACAACGACGGTATCGTCACCACAGACCAGTAGGGCTAGCCGGGCCGACTTGATTGAGTTGAAAACGGCCGTGCCCTGGCGGAGTAACTCTGTCAGAAGAGAGGATGAAAGCGGCGCGCTCTGCGGCATGTCTCATCTGGCACGATGTCACGGGGTGGTTGAGTGCGCAACGAGATCCCTGCCCAAATAGGGTTCGCATCTCAGAGTCCGCACCGGGCGATCGAATGGGCCTGCAGAATGGTGGGTTGGATTTTGTCCGTTGCGTTGACCATCGGACCCAACCACGGCAGATCGAAACGGTTCCGACTGCCGGAAAATTGTCGAGCGCGATCCGGTGCGGGAATCTCGTGCCCCAGTCCCGGACGGCGAGATTGAAGGCCTATTGCAGCAGTGTCTGAGCCGTCGATATGAGACATTTCGAGACGGATACATGAACCTGGAACCCGACAACCAAGGACGGCACGGCATCGAGAGCAGCATCGATCCGGTCGAGATAGACTTGGGACGGGTTGAACTTGGGGTTGTGAGCCGACGAGTCCGACATGTCCAAGACTCCAGATGCAACGCCTGTGTGGGTTGCAGCAAGGGAGTTTAGGTCGGTTGCAACGCTGTGGGAGGAGGAAAAGGGTGCGGGAAAAGCTCCTTCGAGTGGCACTGGCTCGACGGTTTACTGGGTCCCTGGGGGAAGGCGGCAGGCTGCCATGGACTGGCAAGAGAAAGCCGACACAGCACCACGGTACCGAGAGGTAAAGGTGCGAGGGGTGCGAGGGGTGCGAGGGGCACGAAGGGTGCAAGCGAAACAATTGGCAAGGACGAACTTCGATAAGATGATCTGGATCCACTCGACATCGTTCGACCATAACTGCCAGGGTCCCTGTTGTCACTTGTCCCTTTCTTGCCAGCTTCCATGCCTGCCAGATCACGCAACTGACCAGGGCGACGGAGTGGGCAGTCCGGCCCTCACGCCATTACCTAAAAGGGTAAGATCGAAGCTTGACAGGAGGAGCCAAGGCAGTTGTGCTGCAGGGCCATCCTCTTCACACACTCATCTCCATCACCTTCCTCCACCACGGTACCAGATCCAATACTCCGGCGTTGCACTTCACGATACACGCTTCGATTAGGCCAGTGGCGCTCGGCACTTCCAAACTACCAATGGATTGAAGACTGAGCTGATGAAACAATTCCTGTGCCGATTCTGTCTCCGAGCTTTCTTTCTCGCGGCGCTTACGGAGGTTCAGACCTTGTTTTCTGGGTTTGCAGCTCCAACTAACGAGACAGAAACACCTTGATGCCCTGAAGATTCAGTATAGCTACGAGAATTCGACCCGTCCTCAACGCCCTCGATGAGCCGGTGGGACCGCCTGTCACAGCCGAATCTTAGGCCTGCAACGTCACCCCGCGACCCCCGAACGCCGGTACCGAAGAGACGTCGTGGTGCCTGACCCGCCTATCGGGGTCATTATTTGCAAGCCGAGACGACTGGGCGGGTTTGCGGCAGAGGATTCGATGCTCAACAAACAATAACTAAGAGCTATTCAAAGGAAACCCACAGCGAGATGCTGCAGGCGGGCGTGCGAGTACCCGGCCTGCCTTGGCCATTTCTGCCATATCCCGTTTTTCGCGCACCCGCAATACTCCCATTCCAGGCTCTCCTGCGCTTCCCCTTGGCCCATGACCTGGTTGAGCGGTCTGGTGGTTCGGATTCAATATACGCTTCATTCGGCTAAATTACCTGCGTCCTTGTTGATTTGGAGGCGAGCTGCCTTCCCCATGGGACAAGTCCGATACTCAGAGCCTCGCATCTCTTGGCCGAGTCGACAGGAACCCCAACTTGTCCGAGGTGCCGCGGTTGTCCGCGGCCTGCTGCTGGTGGCCCTGCTCAATCTAACTCTCGGGTTTGGTGTGTCTGGCATGCCAGGGGTCGGCCTCTCTGGGGGGTGCCACGGTCCGGCAAACGTCAAGTGTCAAAATCGAGTCACCGGAACTTGGCCGGACTCCCAAGATGGACGGACGAACCATAGGCGATGGAAGTTAAGCCTGGGATGGCACCAGTGCAGTTCGTCCACGACACGGCATCTCGTCTCCACCGGCTCAATCCATCACGGCACCATGCACAATGGCACCGGATATCGTTGAGAGAATAAAGAACGTGCCGTGATCTTAGTTTCTGCTAGCTGATCCTTGGCCGGAAAGAACTGGATGCTGCCGGGCGGAGCAGGAACACCCAGGAGCCGGTGATGGGATGTCTCGCTTGTGTCAACCACCTGCCTTCTTGAGAAGATAGGCGCGCATCTCCAGGGCTCAGCCCATCAAAGCTAACAACACCGAACACCCTCATGTTTCCATTGAGCCGTATCTAACATGGCATTATTTCGCGTTGCGGTGACGATCCGGGCATCGCGGCAGATGGTCTGGCTGCCGACTTTGGTTGGTCTCTTCTTGTCTCTGTATACCGTTGATGCGAGCGATCAGGTCAACGGCCAGTTGCGACCCGCAGCGCAAACCTTCCTGGGCGAGTCACAGTCTTTGGCACAACAGCAAGCGCCAACCTTGGGAATTTCGAGGAGTCTAGGCGCGATGAATTTGCCAGCCAACAGGGGCATAGCACGAGGGACCCGTCGGCCCCGGGTTCCTGCCGCTTCGCAGCGGCCTCTCTCTAGGGTTTACATTTTCGCCGTTCTGGAATATGTAGGTGCGCGAGTGATGAGATGTCGCCGCCGGCAGCGAGACTGTCATGGGGGCTGGGGTGATCACACCGGAACAAGAAGCCGGCACAGTGCAGTGAGGAGTTCAGCCACCCGATTGAGCTGGTTGGTGCTGTTGATGGACTGGCCAGGCCGCGGCCATTGTTTGTTCATCCCAGGGTTGCATTCCGCTCGGCTGGAGATGGGTTGATGAACTGTCGAGGCGAGAAGTACCAGCGACCTCCCACGATTGCCTGGCCTAACCCAAGGTCCCTGTGGGGCGTGGCGAGCGGGTAATCGCAGTATCGACTGCGGTCACCAGTTTTCCTCTTTACAACTATCAGATTTGGCGCTGGGGACAACAAGCCCCTTGATGTTCTGCTCAGAATGGTTTCCCACCACCAGTCCACGGGGAGGCCGGGGTAATCGTCTCGGGCTTCTGGAGAGAGACAGGTTCATCTACGAGAGGTTCTTATGTAGATGAAGAGAGCCCAGTACCCTCTGCTGTATTGATAACCTTTGATTGTCAATGCAAATTAAGTTAATGTCCGTGTTCCTGGTTGTTGAGGCATAGGCGGCGCGGGTAATCGGCCTTGCCGCCCGTGTAAGACACAGTGAGGTGCCAACATGCCTCGACGCAATGAAGGATGGGCCACGATCCGCGGTTGTCCATGTATCAAGTCATGAGGATCAGCGGTTTCGAAAGATTGTAAAGTAGGCAAATATGTAGGCCGTTATATACGTGCTTTCTAGGCGCAATGCCAACATCGTATACTTTGTGCCCAACCCGTCTTGCTCCTGGCCTTCTGGGGGAAAATGGAGAGATTTGGCCAGATGAAAGCCGGGATTGCCTCGCTCGTTGCCGCCTGGGCGACATGAAGTCACTTGTTCTTTGTTGTCTTCCTTTATATACGGGTGTTTCCCCGATCTATTCACGCTGAAGCCCCGGCGTCAGAATTCCAGGGGTAGAGGAAGGGAACATTGGCGGACGATGAGGTTGGGAAACGAGTCGTTGCTGACCCCAAACACGCTGGACACTAGGCACAAATCGACAATGAACGTTTGAGCCTCATGGCTATGGATGTTGAGCAATGAACGGCCTTCCAAGTGGCGCGAAACGCCTTCCAATACCCTCCAACCACTCGAGAACCGATCGACGACGGGCCCGCCCGAAACAACGACGCCGATGAAGGACAAGTCTGCCGATCTACGCACTCCCCTCGCGATGTAGCGTGCTCAACCGCCGCCTCACGACTCCCGAACGACTCTCCCCAAGCTCAGCAAGCTCCTCGTCGCTCCGCCCCTCGCGAGCCCGACCACCACCACGGCCACCGATACCCTCGTCTTCCTTCTTCCTCCCCACCCGCTCCGTCTCCTCCCCCGACTCCCCACTAAACACTTTCCCGCCATCATCACGATCATCCAACACACCACCACCACCACCCCCCACCGGCCCACCAAACGAACCCCCCACACTCTCCATCGTAAACGGGCTCGCTGTCGGCTCATCCAAGACCGCCAACTCTCTCCGCCGTCCAACCACCGCGGCAACACCAACGCCCGCACGGGAAATCAGCGCAAAAATCACCACCGGAAACCCCCACCGCCGCCCACCGTCTGCGTAATCGCGAACGTCGCCGCAAACCCCACCACCTCGACCCCGACAAACGCCCACACCGCACCCCTCCGCACCCCCCCTCCCGCACCAAGCAGAGGATGCCCCCCCTCGGTCAACGCGCGATCCCGCGCCAGGAACAACACCTTGGCCGTGATGCCGTTCCCCGCCAGCGCCTGGAACCCCATGATGAAGAACAGCCCCGCCAGCACACCCTGCGGAATCAGGTGCAGCACCGTCAGCAGCGGGCCGGTCATGGCCACGAGGGTGAGCAGGCCCTGCGCCAGATTGGACAGGCGCTGCTCGACGACGTGCGTGGCGCGGAAGGTGAAGCCGCCACCACCACCGGGGGTGTTGCTGGGGGTGGGGTGGGGTTTGGGGGGGTCGTTGGTGGTGGTGTTGGTGGAGGAGGAGGAGGAGGGGGAGGTGGCGGGGACGACTTCGGTGACGCAGAGGGATTCGGTGTGGAAGGGGGCTTGCGGGATGAGGCCGTTGGGGAAGGGCAGCCCAAGGAGGCCGGCGATGCCGGTGGTGAGGCCGAGCAGGAAGAGGTCCCAGTGGAAGCCGGCGGGTTTGCGGAGGGGGAATTCGGTTCCTTGGGCGATGAGGGAGGATACTGTAGTTGGTTGGTCAGAGGTGGGTGGGGATAGAGGGGCGGAAGGGGATGGGGGAGAGGGACGGACCGTTGTGGTCGAACCAGAAGAGGATGGTTAGCAAGACGGCGAAGGGGATGGCGATGAAGATGTCGCCGACGGGGATGTCCCAGAAGTGGACGAACCAGCCGCGCTCGGCCACGGTCGGCATGAAGGCGATCCCCGTCGGCAGGGTCTCGAGCGGGATGTGCTTCATCTTGCCCATGTGGGCGAAGCCGGTGAAGAAGACGACGGTCAGGGGGGTGCCGTAGTCCTTGAGGAAGACGCGCACGGGGTGCTTGAACAGGCTGCTCTGGCCGAGCTCACCGCAGATGTAGGCGATGGCGAAGACCAGCAGGGCCACCACGACGGACAGGTAAAAGGGCTCGTGGTCGCCGAGCGTCTCGAGGATCTGGATCCCTTTCTGCAGGTAGATGAAGGCGACGTAGAAGCCGAAGATGTCGCAGGGGAAGCGTGTCACGTAGCGCAGCCAGTTGCACGAGTTGGTGACGGCCAGGATCCAATGAAAGATGAGGGACCATCTGGTGGCAGTCAGTACCTCCCTTGTACGCAGCCATGGCAATGAATTGCGGGCAACTTACATCCCAATCCAGCACATGAAGGCCAGGTAGTTGGTGCCAGTAGGCATCATGATATCGTAGACGGTGCTTCGGCAGGTCAGTCCACCACCCCGAAAACCAGATCCAAGTCCTGGCGGAAAACATACTAGTTAAATACGGTAATCGGCCCCGTCACACCGACAATGACCAGCGGCTGACAGGCGAGCACAGAAAACACGACGGCGCCGAGCACCGAAGCCAGCAGCACTTCGTTGACGCCGTACTGCATGCCCGTCTTGTTGAACATGTCCAGCGAGAACGCCAGCGCAGGCAAGATGCTACACGACGGGGAGATCCACGGTTAGCTCTCGCCCTTCAACCCTCCCTGGGAGTAAACAAAACAAGACACATCAAACAACACTCCTCTCTCTCCCCAATAAAAAACCCAGAACCCAGCAAAAAAAGAAGAAAAAAACTCTTTTCGCAAAAAACATATACACCGTCGCCGGGACAACCCGATAATTCTACGCATCCGCCCAGTCACTCGCGTAGAAAAGGCGCCCTCTTGCGGACATCATTGACCATGCCACGAAAGAGGTGGATCTTCCACCAGGGGTCGTGGCGCGGCGCGCGGTGCCGTTCCGGAGCCGGGTCCGAGTCCGGCCCGGCGGCGGCGGCGGCGGCGGCGGTTGCGGAGGGGGTGGAGGTGGTGGAGGTAGGATCATCATGGTGATGGCGGGTCTCCCCGGACGCGGGCGAGCGTACCCAGTCGCGGATGCGGAGGCCTGTTCGGTGGGAGGTGCTGGGAGGGCTTTGGTTCTGGTTCTGGTTTTGGTTTTGGTGGTGGTGGGGGAGGCCGCCGTCTCCGGGTCCGGGGATGGAGCCGCCGGTGCCGGTGGTGGGTTTCTCGGTGGGAGAGGCCATGGTCTTTTGCGGTTTGCGGTGTGCTGTTGCTTCCCGGTTTTTCACTTTTTGGGTCCGACGCGATTCATCATCGATCCTCTTTCGTTTGAGGTCGTCCGTTTTGTGGATAGGAATGGTTATTGGACCTCAATGGATGAGAGGCCGAGAAAGACTACTACGACAAAAAAATAACCTCTTCCGAAAAGAAATGCAAGATCAGATGGGCCCTTCGCTTCCCGGCAACGGCGAAGAAGAACGGGCAGAGCAGGGGTGAGTGGACCCACAACGGGAACGGGACCGAGTGCAAAGGCGGCATGGCGCCAGACAACACACCGTCAGGAACAATGTGCAGATCTGGTGCCGGTTTTCCGGTATGGTGGGATAACAAAGGGCGGGATTGACTGGGTGCCATGTATCATGCTAATAATACCGAATGCTAGATAGCATAGACTTCACTTTCAGAGGGAAAGGATCATGGGAAACATTGGGGTTGATCTCAACTTGTCTCACAGTGGCCCAGCCCCATCCCGATGATCATTTTGGGGCCGGCTCCGGTCCGGGCCGGGGCGGAATCGATCGATCACCTTGAGTGTCGTCTAAGTCGAGTTCGGCCACAACCAACCTCCCCCGAGTAACACATACATACTCTACACAATACATACAAACAAAAAAATCATCGCCAACGGCAGTTATCGTACAACACACTTGCTGATGCAACTAGTCTATCCACGTCCCGCATTGCCTGCCCCGGCCGTCGCTTTGCCCTTGCTGCTGCTGCTGTTGCTGCTAACGGGAGAAACAAGAGAGGAGGGAAATAACACAAAACCAAAGGCCTTCTTTCTAGCAGCTTGCTCTTCCCTTTCCCTCCCCGCTGCAATGCGCCATACCTATTGATACAAACATGTATACGAGTTGAGTATTTTTTGTGAAGGACAGGGGGGCCAGGAATCAGGGATCCGCCTGACCGACCGCAGCACGGGTAGGTAGTAGTGCCTCTCTCCGTCACCTATTTGGCTCTCCTTTTCATCATCCCTTCTCGCCTCTCACCTCTCACCTCCCGCCGTCCGTCGGCGGCTTCTCCTCGTCAAACAGCGCCGGTTCCGCCTCATCGGGCGTGTCGGTGTTTTCGATGGGGAACGGGGGCGGGGCGCTCTTCCCGCCGTGGCGGTTGTCAAAGAACTTGGCAAACTCCTCCTTCTCGGGCCACTCCCGGGGGCCGAGCAGGCGGACGAGGTCGTCACGGGTGAGCATCTCCTTGCGCAGCAGCTCCTCGGCGACGATGGCGATCTCCTTCTTGCGCGCGACCAGCAGGTCCTTGCACTGCTTGTAGGCCTCATCGACGATGCGGCGCACCTCGCCGTCGATGGCCTGCGCCGTCGACTCGGCGAACGGCTTGTGCAGCTGGTTCTGGTCGTTCTCAAAGTGCAGCGGGCCCAGCTTCTCCGACATGCCCCACTGCGTGACCATGGTCGTGGCCATGCGCGTGACCTTCTTGAAGTCGTCGCTCGCGCCCGTGGTGACGGTCGGGAAGTGGAGCTCCTCCGACACGCGCCCGCCCAGCGTCATGGCCATGCGGTCCATGAGCTGGTTGGTGTTCATCAGGTAGGCGTCGCCGGCGGGTAGGTACTGCGCGTACCCGAGCGCGCCCTGCCCGCGCGGGATGATGGACACCTTGAGCAGCGGGTCCGCCCACCGGAAGTACCAACCGCAGATGGCGTGCCCGGCCTCGTGGTAGGCCACTGTGCGCTTCTCTTCGGGGCTGAGGACGAGCGACTTGCGCTCGAGACCGCCGACGACACGTTCGATCGCCTGCTCGAAGTGGATCATCTCGACGCTGGTTGCGTTGGCTCTGGCAGCTTGGGGACCGTTAGTACCCAAATAGACTTACAACTTTAAAAACAAGGAAAAATGGAAACATACCAATAAGGGCAGCTTCGTTGACGGCATTGGCAATGTCGGCGCCAGCGAAGCCCGGTGTCAGAGCAGCGAGACGGCCCGTCAGGTAGTCCATGTCCTCCTTGGTCAGGATCTTCTGTAGGTGCACCTTGAAGATCGACTTGCGACCCTTCATGGTCGGCCTGTCGATGTGGATGTGCCTGTCGAAGCGCCCGGGCCGCATCAGGGCCTTGTCCAGAATGTCGGGCCTGTTGGTGCCAGCAAGGACCACGACCTGCTCCGAGGTGTTGAAGCCGTCCATCTCCGTAAGAATCTGGTTCAGCGTGGCCTCGCGCTCGTCGTTGCCGCCGCCCTTGAAGCCGCCGCCATCGGCACGAGACTTGCCGACCGCGTCGATCTCGTCGATGAAGATGATGCAGGGCGCGTTCTTGCGCGCCGTCGCGAAGAGATCCCTGACACGGGAGGCACCGACACCGACAAACATCTCGACGAACTCGGAACCGCTGACGCTGTAGAAGGGCACCTGCGACTCGCCGGCCGTCGCCTTGGCGAGGAGCGTCTTACCGGTACCAGGAGGACCAGAGAGGATAGCACCGCGGGGGATCTTAGCGCCAAGCCTCTGGAACCGCTCGGGGGTCCTGAGGAAGCTGACGAACTCCATAATCTCGGTCTTGGCCTCGTCCATGCCCGCTACGTCGGCGAACTTAACCTTGACCGCCGAGTCGTGGTTGAACATCTTGGCCTTGCTCTTCCCAAAACCAAACATGTTGCTGGAACCTCCGCCCACGCCACCAGCCCGACGCGATATCCAGGCGAGCAGACCGACAATCAGGATGGTCGGCCCGAACGCCATCAGGAGGTTGGCGGCCATGCCCTCCTGGGCATAGCTCACCGGTATCCTCTCGGAGGTTGGGACGCCAAGCTCCTGCTGGGCCTCATCTAGCCTCCGCTCAAAGGCGTCGACGGAACCGATAGAGAAGTAGTAGACGAAGTTGGGGTTGGCCGCCTGGGAGTCGGGGTACATGTTCCGTACGGCATCGCGGTTGAGCTCCACCCGCACGCGCCTGTCCACAACGACGAGCTTCTCAACCAGGCCCCGGTCCAAGAAGTTCTTGCGCAGCTCCTGCCAGGTGATCTCGCGAGACGACTCAGAGGAGAAAAACATGGTGTAGAACGGGTACAGCATGACGGTCGCGATAACCCACGTGATTGGGTCGGATCCGTCGAACCGGCGCGGCGGTGGTGTTTGGTTGCCTCCCCCTTGCTGCTTTTGCCCTTTCTGACTTGACTGACCTGACTGCTTCTTCTTCTGCTGCTGCTGTTTTTGTTGCGACCCCTGCTGTGAGCGCTGCTGTTGCTCCCCTTCCTGCCCTTGCGCATTATCCCAATCTTGCTCCTTTTCCTCCCCCGGTTTGTTCGATGTAAAGTCCGTCGTTTTCCTTTCCTGTTCCTGGCTTGCTGCCTCGAATTCCGACGCCATCTTGTATGCAATTTTTGGAACCTTCAGAGCATCCATCATGCTGAGCTGCCCGTTCATCTTGCGTCGCAGGATCTCCCGAAGCTCCTCCGGGACACCCAAGTCCCTAAACTCGTAGAATATCTCCCGTATTTCGGCCCGTTGGCTTTCCGACGGGAAAGAGTCCGCAAGCCGGTTGAGCTCGTCCTGTTCTTCCTTGGTCAGGCGTACAAACCCCGGAGCGAGTGGCCGTCGGGGCGCGGGGGGTTCCTGCTTCGCATCGGTGGCATCGTTCAGTTTCTTTGGCGGCTGATCTGGAGTCTCGTTCTCGTCTTCGCGTTTCCGCGAGTTGGTCGACTTGAATCTGGGGGCGAGGAGGGTGGTTGCGGTGGGCGTGGTCTGGGGAAAGCGGGCCACATGGAATGCCGGTCGCGCTAATGGCCGCAATGGCAGCCTTGAACAGCGCGCCAGTTGGAGGGCTGAGGTGCGAAACATGGTCGCTGTGGTGGTGGGAGGAAGGGAGAGGGGGAGGGGGAGGAGCCCGGTTGAAGGCGACGTGGGTTGCGAATGCAAAGGTATCTGATGAAGATTGCGGGTCTTCTTTTCGAATCTGGGTCCCGCTACACCAACCCACCCTGGAAGTCTCCGAGCTACGGCAGGGCACTGGAACCTGCTTTTTTCCCTTCTTTTCTCCGCTCAATGCTCAATCTCCCTTGGTGTCGTTTTCCCTGCTGCCGCACTTCCTGGCGATCGCTTTGTCGCCGCCGAAATCGTCAATGTCCACCGGTGGATGGTGGGTGGTGTGTGCGTCTCGTGAGTCCGACAAGGCCGAGCCGGAAAATCCAAGCCCTGCAACAGTCCAATGGATGACGCCTGGTAAGCGGCGGGAAACATGCTGCCAGGCTAATGCGCTAGTCCCTAGACGGCTAGCTTACGGTCACGTGCCTCTAAAGTCAACCTCTTCCGGCTGACTGATGAGTGGGTTTGCTCTTCACCTGCTCGGGCCGGGCAACCCATTGCACCGTGCCGGACATTTTGACTTCTTAACGCCGGCGGCGTCAACCTACACTCGGTAGGCAGTTGAGGTTGACGTGCATGAGCGTCAGCAGCACCAAAGAGCTCGAGGGTATTGTTACAATACCTGGCTTACAATACATTGCTTGACTTGCCTCAGGCAGGCATTCGTCTGAAGACAGAACAGCAAAATGGATTTCGTCCTAACATGTTTTGTCGTACGAGGGCAGATAAGTACTGTCATTTGCATCTAGACATCAGCCCACTTCCATCGTAAACCTCAACTTTAAGTGGAGCAACCACACGCCACCTCGCAAGGAACTCAAGAGGTTTGCGCACCCCAAAATAACCTCACCACACTCCCTTCCTTCATCTCGCCGCCCGCTCACCATCCACCCATCCACCAATAAGTCAGACTCCCGCACGGCATATCCCAAGAATAGCCCAACAACCACACGGTGTCGGTATGTTGTGTCACCCTCGTCCCATTCAATCCCATCTCTGAACTTGTACCGTGATCCAACCCTGAAGATGACCATTCCTTCATCTAACTTAACATCCATCGACCGGGTTGGGCAGAAATAACCATTGGTAGTTAAAGTATTCGCATTCGACTTCCTCAGCTTGAATTACTCAACATACAAAAACAGCACCAGTAATCTTGACAAACTATCCACCAGACATATAGGACATGAGATTTACAACAGTGTAGCCATAGCCAAGTATAACATGATCAGAAAAGAAATGGAAGTCATGAATCCCTATAAGGACATATATCATAGAAAAGAAGAAGAAGAAAACCAAAAATCCACCCCAAAAGACAAGAACACCTGCGCCCCGCTATACCCCAGCAGAAACAGACCCATCCATCCATACATCCATCCATCAACCAGTCTAGTTGACACTCCCCCCTCATACACACACTCACCCTTACCTCCACCTATTCACTTCACACCTACACCCGCTAGAGATACCTCTCTCACAACACATGTCACCTCCCCATAGGCCTCTGCCCGTGCCCTTGCCCCTGCCCCTGCCCATTTTGACCCCCTCCCCCAAGACCACCACCACCACCACCCCCACCGCCCCCACTCAAATCCATATCCCCAAAATTCCCATTCTCCACGCTCGGATACGCACCACCACTCATCTCGGCCCAATTCCAATCCAGCGCTCATCGGCAGACTAAACAGATCCTGCGGCAGCATCGGCTGCTGGTACAGCGCCCCTCCTAGGCCACCACCCAGCGGCGGGCTGCCCAGCCCCCCGCTCGTGTCCATGGCGCCGAACGCGGCCATGTCGGCAAAGGTGTTGTACTCGGAGCTGTCGGGCGTGAACTCGCCGTGCCAGCCGGTGGGGGCGAGGCCGGGGGACGGGGACTGGCTCATGGTGCCGTTCATGGGGCTGTAGCTGTTGGGGTTGTTGGGCGGGGAGCGGCGGTCGTTGGCGGGCGGGGAGAGATGGTTTTGGTTGTTGGGGTTGCCGGCGTGCATCCCGTTCGCCTGGGGGGGTTGCGGAGCGCGCCGTGGTGGGGTCCGGGACGTGGGCCGGGATCGGGTTCGGATTGAAGGAGGGGGAATCGGCCGCGTTGGTGTTGGTGTTGTTGGAGCTAGCTGCTGGTTTGCTCAAGGATTGGTCATGGTTTTTCCGCTTTCCTCGTCGTGAGGCATGGTCCTTTTCTGCCTTGTCGATCACCACCTTGGCGATCCGGTCAAACTCGGAGCATACGCCGAGCATGCGGTGGACGCCGCCTGTTTCCGCCTCGTGCCCAAGCATTGATAGGAAGTTGACGACCACATTTAACAGCTTGGTGTCGGAGCGTGCCCTGGGGTCGAGGGGATTCTGTAAGATGTGCCCAAATAACGTAACTAGTGCGGACACTGGGAAATACAACACCATCCTGCAGCGGGTTAGAAACGGAGGTCGGCTGGGGCAAGAGAGGGGGTCGGCTTACCAGACGCAGGAAAAGTCGCCCTGAGGGATGTACTTAAGCAGAGAGATTGATGCTCTGGCGGCAGAGGTGCACAACGCCGCCGAAGAGAAAATGCGGGGATTCAGTGGCCTCGCGTTGAGCCCCCTAAGAGCAAAGTTGGATAGACGACTAGTCCAGTACCCGTGATGGATCGACATGCGGTGGATCGTGGTGAGGCAGTTGTAGTAGTTAAAATGCAGCATGACGATGTGGAGGATAAGTGGTGTATGCGACGCTTTGATCTCGTGTTCTGGGCGGAAATCAATCGGGATGCGGTCCTTCCAGTCTTCCAGCTCCTTGTCGAGTTCCCCGATGGTGTTCAGCAGCTCGCCATCCGATTGTTTCGTTGCTTTGGTCGAGTACAATTTGTTGTACACTCTGCTTTCCACGATGGAGAGCTCGCACATGACCCGGAAAAGGTTCATCTTGCCCTTTCCGTCCGCCAATGGAATGTTGCCGATGCCGTCCGCAGGGTCAGCATCGGGGAGTTCTACGTTCATGTCGTCGTCGTCTTGCGCAGGTGGCCTCCCGGAACGAAGACACAAATCCTTGTCCAACATGTAGGCTATCCAGAATACCCGCTTCCGTTGCTCAATCTCGATGGGATTGAGGTTGAACCCTGTGCCTCGTTTGTGGAGGCCGATGGTGTGCGAAAGTCGAATCGCCGTGGCAATGAGGAGGAAAGACGGCTGTGGGTTTGGAGTTCCCTGCATGAACAGAGACATACCCAGCAGGGCCTGGACGCTGAGCAGGTCGGTGTTGCGCATCGCCAGCTCGGAAAAGACGGCCATGGCGTTCTTGATGTAAGCCCAGGCCTTGTCATCTTCCTCTTGCGGTACCAGGTTACTCATAACGCGCAGGCGGTGCGCGATAGCCAGAGCCACGTTCAAGCTCGCCCACCATCCGGATCCGGTATAGGGGTCATCCGAGTACTGCCTCTCCACCAGATGCATAAAGGTCGGCTGGTGGAATAACGGAAACATGCAGTTGAAGTTCTCAAAGTAGTCCTTGAGCAGCGACAGCGCCTCCGGCTTCGGGGGCAAATCTCTGAAGACAGTGCGGCGGAAGAGATCCCCGAAGACATCGGGCTTCCAAGCCGTCCACTTGTGATCGTCAATCGAGACATCCGAAATCATCTGCTGGAACGATGAATCCCCCATTTTCTCGTTTACCCACTGAACTCCTTTGGGTGAAAAGATGGAGAACCCGGAGGATGAACCTTTTATATGTTAGCGGCCAGGGGACTACACAGGGATGGTTTGGTCCGTACCGATATATCGCGTTTCGCCGTTGGTATTCGTGACCAATGAGCACATCATTTCAGACAGTTCGGCGACCTCTTCCCGCTCGCCGTCCTGACTGTCTTTTTCTGGCGTGATAGAGTTCATTTTATCGCTGTCTTTAGCGGACTCGGGGGACGCCAACGAGCTATGGGGCGTTGAGGCGCGAGCCTCTTGACCCGGCACTGGTGGGGGGGACGTCGGATCGGAAACAGCCTGGGAAGCCTGCCTCGACTGTTGGTGCTTCTCGACAAGCTTCTTCTCCAAGGTTCCGAGGTCGGTGGCACCGTTGTCGTCTTCGTCTAGAAGGCCTGCGCCAACGACGTTAGCGGGGGATGGCTACAGGTACCCATCTGGGATGCGAAACACCAGGCATACCTGATAACCTCAACAGGGACTCCATGCGCTCCAATCGATTCTCGAGCCCCTCAATGTACTTGGCGCTGTTTCCACGTGTAAGTCGAGGATCTATAGAATGTCGACAACCGACACTCACCCCTTGGGAGGATTCCGCTTCTTTTCTACTTGGGTGAAGACACAGTCCGTCTTGTAGTTATTGCAGTGCGTGCAAGCTGGGAGCTTTCCATCGCACTTGATCTTCTTCTTTCGGCACATGTCGCATGCCTAGTAGCATCCGGTCAGCATGTCGACCGCCCTATGTCATCCAAGCACAGTGGTAACCCCTCCAACTCACCCTCGCAATCCTCCTCCTCTTTGCCTCGTTTGTGTCGTCCAACAATCCCTGGTCCCCGAACATTTGCGCCGTGATCAATTCAGGCGGTAACTGGGGCATTTGGATGCCGTGCTCACTGTAGCCGCCGAATATCTGGGGGGGCGGGTTCATGAGTGGTGGTGGCGGGATGGGCATTTGGAAGCCCGAATGCATGTGGTGGTCCATGGCGACAAGCGGTCAAAACTCGGTCGTTGCGGAATGGAAAAGGCTCGATGGACGACGGTTGGAGAGAAACCTGGACCCTTTGATAAAAGGGTCAATGGGATTAGGTTATTTCGAGACGGCGGGGGTCCTGCTTGTGTAGCAGTGTAGCCGCTGACTGGAAGCTGCTATTATTACCGTCCACTCCGAGGACGGGATGCGCCGGAACAACCGGGAATAGAGGCTGAGCAGCCGTGCAAAGAAAAACGTTCAGTAGAAGGACGCCTGGTTATCGCTAGGGCATGCTGGATGTCACAAGATATCGTCTGGTTCCACAGCGGTCTATTGGTTGTAGTTCGTGGCAGAGCAGAGTTGCGGATGTCTAGGCGATCCTTGAGGGTCGTCAGTGGGGAGAGGCGGGAAGGTCACCTCCCGGGAGTGGATGCAAGCGGCGAGAAATTCGAGGTAGGGCTGAAAGGCGGCCACGAGAATCAAGACGGCGAAGGCGAAGTGTGCCGTTGCATCCAGGATTGATCCCAACTTTTGTTTATCACAGAATCCTAGGTCGACAGGGAATCGCAGAAAGAGACCGGACGAAGGTCGTTGATACGGGAAAGTGCCAGTTGATGACGGGCAGTGCTTGACGCGTCTTATGGCGGGGCCTTGACCCACCTAATTCAATGCAAGTCGAGGCCCCAGGAGACCAAGCCAGTGTGCCAGAAGCATGTGGGGGAGCGGAAAACCGTCCGAGCGCACGGACGGCAGCCCAACATTCAGGGCGTTTTCTCCCCTTAAAGTGCTTGGTAAGCTCCTTTGGCGGAAGCAACCGAGCGGACTCTGCCGGTGTGAATTGCCTTCTAGGGTTGAAGATCTGATGGCCACAAGTCTTGTGGCCAGGGGATACAACGGACCTAAGATGTATTTTACGGTCAAAGTTGTGTAATTGCTGCTAGATGCTAATTATGAACTATCGATTTAGGTACCTATTTTATTCCTTTTCGTTCCTCTGACTCGTGTTTAAGGGCGGGGACCTGTCAACCGACCTAAGGTAGGTACATACCTACCCAGGCACCTTCACGGCACCTGCACTCCGGAACCCTAAAGTTTAACGAACGATCCCCGGCGTTAAAATCAGTGACACCTGAATCTCATGTTCCTGACCCGGGCTCCGGCGTTTGGGAACGGCCAAGCGCGTGGCAGGGGTTCCAGCCTTGCAGCTTGCATCATCGGAGACAATGGCCAGTTCCCATCGTAAAGTCTCCCGTCTCAAGGATCTATCTAGCATGGGCTCATGTCGGGCCGGGAGATGTTATGTCTCGCTGCGCTTGGCTCGAGACCCTTTGGAGAGTGCGCATGGTTGTCGGTGGGATTCCAGGATGCAACTAGTAGATGTTTCTAGAACTCGTTCATGCAAACCGATTGCGGCCTCCAAGGTTTCTACCATTGTCTTTGCTGCCATCTCATGTCGTGGCGGTCGTGCGCATCTTCAGGCCGCAGGTGGCCGGCCCCTCGCTTCCATGTCCCTAACTTGCAGGGGTGTGGTTGTGAGACAATCTTGAAACGGACAGGGTTGGGTTGAGAGCAACCACGGCCCACAGCTCTGACGCCATCATGGAGAATGACAAATTCCATGCTTGTCGACGCAATATCACTACGATTTGGATCCCACAAAAAAGGGGAACAACGAAAATTGAAATGAGAGATTGGGAAAAAGAAAAAGGAAGAAGAAAAATAGAGCAAAAACAAACAGGGAGTAAAGACTTCCCGTAAGAAAAGCGCAGAGAAGCCAACAAAAAAACTAAGACAAAGGGGGACGATAAAGAAGAAGGCAGAAAGAATCGTCATGGATTCATTAATGGAGCATTCAAAGGGAAACGGGATCTGGTAGTCCTGGCGATGAATTCCGTGGGTGAAGGAGGTTGTATAGGTAGCATTCAATACATGTACCTGGGTAATCTTGCTCAAGCCTAAGGTGATTGGACGGGGACATGGCAACCAGAAAGTGCGCCAAAGAGCCATGGAAACAAAGGGCGAAGATTTAGTTAAGGAAGGATTAAGTAAATCGGTTGACGCAGTGCACATGACCGCCACCATTGGCCCTGCAGTAAAGGGGCATGCCATGGTGTTGAAGAATTATATATTTACAGGCCGGTTGCAACTGAAGCCGGTCTATCAGTGACTCACATAACGGCTCGTGGGAAAGCATAAATGAAAGGGAAGGGCCTGGAGTGGACCGTATTGCCCATCCCGAGAACGTTTCTTTGCCTTGCACTTCCGCTTGATTGGGCGGTAAATGGTTGGGAGCTATCCGTCTCAAACCACTTCGTGGTCAGCCAGTTTATCCAAATTCCACGATAGGGACCGGGGATGTTACCTAGGGATGCAAGCCATGTTGTCAGATCGAATCTGATTCGCGGAATGCTCGACATTCAAACCAGATTCTTTCTTTTTTTTTTTAAAAAAAAAAAAAAGAAAAAAAGAAAAAAAGAAGAAACAAAGAAACAAAGACGAACTGTCTCTCTAGGGCGCCTTACCGGCACAAAATCTCACGGGAATTCCTGCCGCATAATCTTTTCCAAAACGTGCCGTGTAAACTCGTCCGTTTCTTACTTACTACTGAGAGGGCAGAGAACCACCTTTCCCTCGTATATCGTCAAGCAATTCTTTTCCTAAATCACTACCTGATTACTACTGTTCGCTTCACAAGGAGGGTGTTGCCAATATGTAAGAGGTTGGTAGGTAAGCCCTCCTGTTAAATCTATGAGGTGGCCAAAAATGACATTGCGAGCATTAGAATAACGGATAATCTGCGCCATGGGTACGCATTCGATTTCAACAGAGTTGCGGTATAGCCGGCTTGGGATTAGAATTGTGCTGACCGAGGACCTCGGTGTTGACCTAGAGGTCCATTTGTGAAGTACACATTGCTCCATTATGGTGGCTTGAACTCGGCCTCCCACAGGTCTGCGCAATTGTAGGCTTCCCTACGTGATGTCAGGAACACTCGAATGGTAGAAATGTTGTTATCGATGAGACGAACATAACATATCAAACCAATAAGCAAGGTCCGTTCATCTCCAAGCATAGAGCTTTCGGATTGCCCTATGAAGTGGTCAACCCTTATGAGCTGGGAAATTATCGAATATGAACCATGAATAGGATATCTGTAGACTTGCCGTTCTCTAGCGTGTGAACTACAATGATTCAGCATTGAGAAAAACTCTAATTTCGTTCCCACTTATCCACGGTTTATTTGTCACCTCCACCATAAGACATGGATACTTATTGCCTACCTACATTGGCTCTGTTAAACTTAATAGCGGTTCGCGCGTTAGCTTAATCTATCTATATCTACTCACTGCGAAGCTTCTCTGCTGTGCCCACGTGCAGTCTCTGGAATGGACGGAGATCTTGCTCGTATGTGGTTAAGTGTTCGCCAGCGGGTGAAATGCCGAACGGGGCCCCGGGTTAATCTATTCTCGACTACGGCGAAAGCCGGCGGTTGCATGATATTTACCCATGAGCAACCCGGGAGCTGGTCCGCACTCATGCGGCCTTGGCGTTAAGCACCCCAGACTCTCCTGTTCCCATGATTTCGGGCGGATCCCCAAATGGTTGTTTTCAGACTTGATTCCGCTCCTTTGCTCCGAACTACAACTCCTTCTCCACACCAGACGGAGAAACTAGATGAACAGGGACGTGTCCTCGGGTTGGAGGGTCTGATGGCAGGGTAATATTGAAGCGGGGAGGGTTGGAATTCCCCGGACATATATAGTCGGGGGCTGATGGGCCACATTCTTGTTTGCACGCCGCCAACCTTCACCCTACTCCAAAGATACCTCAAGATGCTCGGCTGAAACTGTCATCGCCGGGCCTCCTGCTAGCTTCCGGGCGCGGTTGCCGCTCCGGCACCAAACCCGCTCGAGTTCGTCAAGCCGGGGCTCCGAGCCCCGGGCGTGGTCATTCAGAAGTGCAGCAACCCCCGGGATGCTCGCCCTTGCGTACGATGATGGGCCCGTAACCAGTACACTTCTGAGCTGGTAGACATTCTTGATGCGGCGGGTGCCAAGGCCACCTTCTTCTGGACCGGCACGCTCTATGGGTGCATCTACAACCAAGCCACCGCGGTCAAGAAGGCATTCGCCTCGGGCCACCAGATTGCCTCTCACTCATGGTGTGAAGCTCTGTCTCTAGTTTCCCCTCGCTCACTTACTCACACACAATACTAGGACCCACGGTCACATGGGCAGCATGAGCGCGCAACAAATCCGCACCGAGATGACCAGGGTTGAGGACGCCATGGTCAACTTGATCGGCAAGAAGCCGGCCTACATGCGCCCGCCTTACCTTGAGACGAGCGGCCAGTTCCTGCCGACCATGGCCTCCATGGGCTACAAGGTCATCACCAACGACGTCGATTCAGGTGACTGGAACAACCAGTCGCCGCAGCAGAGCCAGCAGGCCTTCCAGCGTGCTGGCGCTGGCGGCAACGGTCACATTCCCCTCATGCACGAGACCTACGCCGGCACCGTCCGCACCCTCACCCCGTGGTTGATCAACTGGGCAAAACAAAACAACCTCAAGCTGGTTACCGTCGGTAAGTTGCACTGAGCGTCATGTGATCGAAGGACTATGCTGACTCTTTACAGCCGAATGCCTGGGCGATGCCAACGGCGCGTACCAGTCCGGAACCTTTACGCCCAACGGCCAGAACTCCTGTTAAATGGAGGCCGAAGGGAACCGACCAAGGTTGATATTGGAACGAGCAGTACAAAAACACGTATATAGTACCTGGTTTTAGTACATAAATCAATCCAAGCAAACTATAAGCTTCGTATCATGACCAATTGATATTTCGTTTGACATACAGAGAACCGCCCTTTCCGGGTGAGCCAGTTACGTAGAGTCCTCTACTCTTGAACCAGCGTCGAGCAACATCCCTCTCGACAACCTCTAACGGGGTTTTCCTTGCCCCCCTTTCAACCGCCAACTCTTTGACTCTCGCGCTATACTTGCCCCTCACTATCCAAAATCCGATCAACAGCCGAATCGACCGTTGCAGGAGATGGTCTCCCCGATCGCAAATTTATGCCAACACCAGTTCCACTCAACACCAGGCACCACCTCGCATTTGTCCCTCGGTAAGGCCTCGCTACCTCGTTCTGGACGCTGAAGGACGAACGCCGTGCCATAACCCCTCCCATATCCGGAGGTTGTAATACCATGACATTCTTGCGTATAAAAAGTATACCCGTACAAATCAGAAAGGATATCGACTAATCTGGAAGGTTGCTCTAGAAAACACTCCCCTCTTCAATGGCTATGGCTATTATTTCTATGGGGGAAA